AGGTCCCTCTGGATGGCCTCCCTTCCCTCCTAATGACACAGGTTGGTGTCATCAGCAGACTTGCTGAGGGTGCACTCAATCCTGCTGTCCGTGTCACTGACAAAGATGTTATACAGCACCGGTCCCAATACTGACCCTTGAGGAACGCCGCTCATCACTGGTTTCCACTCTGACATAGAGCCGTTAACTGTGACTATTTGAGTGTGACCATCCAGCCAATTCCTGCTCCGCTGAGTGGTCCATCCATCAAATCCATGTCTCTCCAGTTTAGAGACAAGGATGTTGCGCAGGACAGTGTCAAATGTTTTGCAGAAGTCCAGGTAGATGACATGGGTTGCTCTTCCCTTATCCACCAACGCTGTAACTGCATTGTAGAAGGCCACCAGTTTTGTCAGGCACAATTTGCCCTTGGTGAAGTCCTGTTGGCTGTCACCAGTCGTCTCCTTATTTCCCATGTGCCCCAGCATAGTTTCCAGGAGGGTCCGCTGCATGGTCTTGCTGGGCACAGAGGTGAGACTGACTGGCCTGTAATTCCCCGGGTCTTCCTTTTTTCCCTTTTTAAACATGGGGGTTGTGTTTCCTCTTTTAACAGAAAGGTGAGTGGAGCTCGGGTCTTCTGCTATTTACTAATCAGCTATACCATGGAACTTTTTTGTTATTTTCTAGCATGAAAGTCCTGTGTTGTCATGCAGCAAGACATAGCCTTTTTCAAGTCATTGAAACATTTTGTTTGGAAAGGGCCTTAGGAGGTCATCTGGTCCAGTGGCCCACTCAGACCAGGTGTGCATGCTGAAATGCACTGGCTTTTCTCTGTTGGGTTGTCTCCATATGAGCCCCAGCGACACCATGGTGACCACAAAGCTCTCATGGCTGCTTGTGGAACAGTAGCTGAGAAAGCTGACAGGCTTCCCAGAAGGAGTGTTCATTGCTCATGAGTTCAGTCAGTAAACAGAAGTAAACATTAGTTTTACTCTTTTTTCTTAAGACACCTGAATACAATGATATCATGTATCCTGCCTGGACATTTTGGGAAGGAGGACCTGCTGTTTGGCCAATTTACCCAACAGGTTTAGGGCGCTGGGACCTCATGAGAGAGGACCTCAGAAGGTATGTTTTGGAAATTATTATGGGGGGGGGAGGTTTAACAGAAGACAAACTCTAGTAAATAAGCTGTCTAATGCTGGGCAGCGTTGGGCCAACGTTGAAGTCTAAGACCATAGGTCTGTTGGCCTGCGTTCTGTCCTGCAGCCTCTCATTAACCACGTACAGCCTAACTGCTGTGTAAGAATTCTTCATGGAAACCTTGGATGATGTAACCAGAAGTTATAATTAGCTTCTCCATTTCCAACACTTCAGTAGGGAATGCAGAGGGCAAAGTATACACATTCTTCATGCTGTCAGGGCAAGATTACTATAATTTTCGGTGAGATAGGGTTTGTCAACAAAGTAGCAGTTACCTTTTGCCTTCAGAAATCTTTTCTGACATGTGGAAATATTTTCCTTTGTTTTCAACTACTTCTTTAGGAGCTGTGGTTTTTTCTACTGCAGGAATGATCCAGGATGTTTGTGTAAGCTTCTGGAAGGGTAAAAGAAAGCCTTCTTTAGATCTGCTTTTACTTGAGTATTTTTGTGCAAGAGAGCGCCCTGGAATTGTTCCCAAGTATCAAGAGTCATTACAGGGCTGAGAGTAAGACAGAAGATGTTTCTGACTGAGAGTCTTTCTTTTGGCAGAATCTTTTGACTGTTAGCAGAATAAGGGGCTATTTCCCAAGGAGAGTGACAAGCAAAGTGTGCAACAGTGAGTGAACGCAGAAACTCAACAAGGAAAAAAAACCGCCTTGATGTCAATCAGTTGACATTGGAATGCAAGGTTGAATGTTTCTTGCTTCAAAATCTGAAGATCTGGGGGACTAATTAGCTGAAGCCTAATGTGATGTAGGACAACGAAGGTCCAAAGCATTTCTTGATCCTTGCTTTCTCAGTGAACCCCACTTTTGTCACTGGGTTACGAGCAGATGCAAAGCTTGACCTGCACAGATCAGTTTGGGGATCAGGGCCTATGTGTCAAGCCAGGCGCAATGGGAAATTACAAGAAAGAGTTCCCTGGAGGGAGGCAGGTGACTGCACTGACAGAAATAAAGCATGTAAACAGCTATTTTTAAGGACTTGCTCAGATTTCAAATGAAAGTTAGTTGGGAAAACAATGAACCCCTGTGTTTTAAATGCAAAACACTAGGTGGGGTTTTTTGTTTGTCATTGTTTGGTGGTTGTTGTTTTTTAAGGGGAAATGACAGTGGTTAGAAACTCTCATTTTGCACAATTTTGGTGCAAGTTTTGCGCCATATTCAATGAAGTACAGAAAAATAAGCAACAATGCAAAAAGTGGATTCAAATTTTAGGTAAGTTTTAATAACCTTAAAGGTTTGGTGAGGGGGTTGCATGTATTTCATTGTTTTGACTGAAAGGTATTCTGAAAAGTAGCCTGTGTCGTATTGCCTTAAACACAATATTCACAGGAAAACCTGCTTCACTGGTCCTGGCTGAGAGTTTTTTCTGCTATAATGAAGAAAGTGATTGCCTTCAAAAAATGAAGAGTAATAAAACCAGATCATGCTGTGAAAACTGACGAGAGCACTGTTTTCATGGTTCTATTGAATCATTTACTGCCGTGTATAAACAATATTTTCAGATCTGCAGAAAAATGGCCATGGATGAAAAAAATCTCTAAAGGATATTTCAGAGGATCCAGGTGAGCATATTTTCCTGTAACAGGAGAGTCTACCAACATATGCCATGACAGCTGTCTGTATGCAGAAATTTCTGTTGTCTCCAAGACCTAAACAAGTGTAACCCAGGGCGTATGTTTTAAAAAGAAAGCAGGACATTTTGTCCAGCAGCATTTCACCATTAGCCATTCTCCATAAGAATTGCCATTTGCAACTAGTGTATTATAATAAGTCTAATATTGGAAACAGAAGTTATGATGGATTTGCTATGTTACTCCTTAGTGAGTAAAACTGTCACACTGGGAACCAGCTTGCTTTGTTCCGTGAAGGGAACTGCAGGTGCACGAGACAAATTTAAAGATTTGCTATTGACGTGCATGCTTCTTGCCAGTGTGAATACTTCATTCGCTACGCAAGTGCTCGACACTGAATCAAAAGTATTCCTGCTTTAAGTTACCTGAGTGGCGAGGGATAAGAGAGCAGATTATTTTTTCCCCTCTCTCCAGTGGCTGTTTGAAAACAATGTTAAACCAAATACTTTGTTCCTCCCCCATCCCCAGTAGGGAAGGACTCGCTATCTTACTAGGAAGACTCAGGGGGTGAGGAGTGAGTCTCAGGGATGTCATAACCTTGTTTATCAGTGGTGTTTGAAATTAGTTTGAAATCAGAGGGATCAGCGCTGAAGATGCTTAGCATCCCTTAGCTCTCTCTGACTTAGAAGGGAGGTAAAGTATTTGGCACCCATCAGGATAAAGCCTGAAGGAAACAACATCTCTGCTGATTTGTCCTGGGAATTGCTTAAATCATACTATTAAATATTTAGTAAGTGAAATAAAGAAACGTGGCCTCAAATCGTTTCGGTACACATAACTCGTTCTCTTCTGCTAATATACCCTTGGGCAGAAATACACAGTGTAGTAGGCACTCGATAATGTTTTTGAGGCACATAGGGAGGTCAGCCTCATGAAGAGGGAGGATCTTGAGTCCTGTAGCCTGTTAGCTGTGTTGGGTCACGTGGATTGGCGGTTACTGATAACATTTCTTTTGCAGAACAAGCCCTGAGAGAGATCCCCTCATTCTGCTGTCCCGAGAAGACCCAGAGCTCGTTGATGCTGAGTACACTAAAAACCAGGCTTGGAAATCTGAAAAGGTGCGTGGGTGTCGTCTGTCTGCCGAGTGTGAAGGCCAGGAAGGGTGGCATTGCAAGATGGCTTTGATGATGGAGAAGCATCTTTTTGGGAGAGTTGTGGATGATCCTGTAGACTGGGGGAGGCTTGTAGTTCCCTTGATGGCCGCACCTCTCTGACAGATGAAAGGAAGGAGTGTCTAGAGCCTGGCAGGCCAAACATTTTTCTTCTGTTTCTTCAAGGAGCCCAGCACATACAAGGAAATGAATCTATGCCAATCCCCTCTGCCATTACAACAAAGTTAGCCAGCTCTTCTCTTCCTAGCCCTGAGCTGCCTGTCTGTTGTTGTCAGTTTTCTTAAACCTTTTGCTGTCATCTCCATTTCTTGGTCTTGCTGTTGATAACTTTCTAGTAATTGTTGATGATAACTTTTTAGTTCCATACCAGTCTACAGTCCATCTCTCTCCAGACAGTCTTGGCTAATCCGGCCACGCTTGGCTTCACGTAGTCCATTGTCCCAAGCTGTTTTCCACTCTATAGCTGCCAACTCACCATTATCATTTAATGTGTTTGTGCTGGCGTTTGCTTACAGGCTGTGTGTAATTTACTGAATTTTTTTCTTATTTGAAGAGCTGGGCATTCTTCATAGTACTTCTAAAAGCCTACCAGAGAAGGTTTTCTCAGAAGTGGGAATGGAGGGGTTTGAGACTTCAGCTGAGAAGGAAAACAGATGAAATCACCATATAAAGCTTACTGATTTTTATTAATTCTCATTATTTTAAGGACACCTTAGGGAAGCCTCCTGCAAAGGAAATTCCACTGGTTGATCACTGCAAATACAAGTAAGAGTTTTGATTAGTAAAGCTGTTCAAGGGCTGTGGGGTATTTCCTTCCTTGCATGGTGTAAGGTCTCATTTTATTTTAAGGTTTAGTTCCAGCAGCCAGCTCCATGCAGATAAGAAGGCTTGTGAACGGACATAAGGTCGTTGAAAATTTGGGAGCTTAGCATGGCCTCTTTCAGTGTCAGCTTTCCTTTGTCAGGTCAGGAGAAATAAAGTGCTTTGGGGAAAGTAAAGGTCTTAGATCACTAATAAACATACAGATCGAAAATTTATTTATTTTTAAATCAAAAAGGCTTTCTACCAATTTTTCTTTATATTCCTGCACCAAGCTGTGTGTTCGAAATTATTTTTTTCGATGCTACAGTAATAGCATCGCTGTCTTCAAAGACATAAGGCACTAAGGAATCACGTCTTCATATGCATACTGGGGCGAGTGTTGCCACTGGATGTGTATAGTAAAAGAGAGAACCTGAAATATGGATCAATACTATATCTGCTCCGTCGTATTTCAGGTTCTCTCTGTGTATGTGGTTTTGATTTACAAAGGCTTTTATTTTTTTTTAGCTACTTTAGGGAGGGGTTTTGGTGTAATATTCTTGTGGGTTTCTGCCTAAAAATACAAACTCCTAGTGTGTGTGCATTTGTATGTCTGATGTTTTGCTTTAAAATTACCTAGTTACGACTCTGCCAGCAAGAATCTGCTGATAGAAGAATTCAGTCACTTGGCTGGATCTGTGTTGTTGTGCAAATATGATTGACTTGTCTCGTTTTGTATTTCACTAGACTGTTGCCCAGATTTCTCCCTTCTGTTACACATAGGCTTCCCAACTTTGATGCCTCCTAAGCCCCTCGTACAGTGTAGGCTGAGACAGTCTCACGTGCTTTTGTCGTAGCCCAGGGTCTGGTAGGGTCAACGTGGACTTCTCACTGCTGCCTTCAGTGTAGGTGCTATAGCAGGCTGTCCGAGAGCAGCGCGCGGTGGCTTGGCTGAGGCCACGGATGGTGGGAGCTGTCTGGAATTGGACAGAGGCATTTCCTCGCTTCCAGACCACTGTTCTTGTTACACCTCTACACGGATTTGTTGAGTTCCTAATACAACGAGCTCCTCACCCCTGCCTTGAGCTCCGAGGTAATACAAAGAATGCAAAATAATTTTAGATTTACTCCTTGTCACTTACTGCTACTGAACTAAGTTTAGCTATAACTCCCATCTCACCCAAAACATATATAATCGCCATCTTGCCCAAAATAGCTTCATTAAAGGAAGATCTCCATTCCCCCAGCCCAAAATATTTGACTTCAAAGACTAGTTATATGTACTGAGGGGTTTTACCCACAGGAAAAACAGCTTTCCATGTAACTGGAGAAATGGGGGTTTAAAACAGAGAGCAAATAAGCAAACAAACATCCCTCTGAGATACAGTTTGCTAAGAGAAATCCGCCCCCAGTCAAGCCCACTTTACTAACTTGGCAGAAAATACTGAAAACAGTATTGTGGATTCTTTGTTATCTGCAAAGTCCATCTGTTGTGTGCTAGCCTATTTAACCTCCTAGGGTTGCATTCCCAAGTTAATATGAAACAATTAGGTTCAGATTAAAGCAGAGTCCCAGAGGGGAGTTAAAAAAAAAAAACAAACCAACCAACCACAACAAAAAAAAAACCAACAACAAAAAAAAACCCAAAAAACAACCAAGGTAGATGTGGCAAAACAAAACAATGAACAAAGAAGCTCACTGCAAGACCAGGGAGACTTGGGGAAAAGCTGCTCGTGGTAACAGTCTCTGAAGCGTGGCGTCAGCATCCACGTTGTGACCTTCCGTGCTGTGTTGTCCGTTGTCCGTGAGGCCCTCTTTGGTTTGTCGCAGGCAGGTGTCTTCATCAGAGGTAAAGCCTCGCGCCTTGATTTTCTCCCCTGGTTTTGACAGACAGCAGAAACTCACCTGGCACATCCTTAACTTCAGCTCACCGTTCCTGTGGGGAGCTTCAAAGAGATGTCTTCCCTTTGTTTCAGCGACCAGTGTGGGGCGCGGCCGACTGCTACTCGGAGCCCCATTTCTTAGTGCCTTTCCTCACCACACGCCCAGTGTAATCAGGTCCCTCTCTCTGCTTGTCCTTTGAAAGGTATCTGTTTAATTTCCGGGGAGTGGCTGCCAGTTTCCGGTTGAAACACCTTTTCTTATGTGGTTCGCTCGTCTTTCACGTTGGAGAAGAGTGGTTGGAGTTCTTCTACCCGCAGCTGAAGCCTTGGGTCCACTACGTCCCAGTCCAGTCGGACCTCTCCAACGTCAGGTGTGAGACCCCGGGTGTGCTCAGCGGAGCAGCGCGTGCCCCAGGAAACGCCGCTGTGTTTGGGGAGGCGGTTTGGTTTGTGTCGCACTAAGAAGCGCCCCCGCTCCTCGGCGTCAGACAAAGGCTCGTGGAGGTTGTGTTCTTTTCTCTTTATTACTGCCCCCCAAGGCTCCTTTGCCGGTGCCACTCGGAGAGTACAGTTTCACTGGAGGGTGCAGGTCTTTTGCCCTCACTGACACCAGCTTTGCTGGTGGGCCCTGCAGCACAGGTGAGGGGCAAGAGGAACTTAGCACTGGGCCAAAAACGTGTTAGCTCCCGGGTTTCAGTGTGCCGTCTGGAACTGATACGGAACAAATGAGAAGGGCAGGTTTCTTCTGTGCTCCGAGATGAGGAGCACCAGTCCCTCGCTCAGCAGTAGAGCCTTGCTGTCATCCTCCACAACAGTTTGGCTAAGGGACGATGTTCTCCGAGCCTTGCTGTCATCCTCCACAACAGTTTGGCTAAGGGACGATGTTCTCCATCGAGCTTGTGGTTTCATCACATTTTTTTGGTCTTCGTTTTAGGGAGCTGTTGCAATTCGTAAAGGAAAACGATGCCATAGCACAAGAAATCGCAGAGAGGTAAGTTGTGTGTCCTTTCTGGCTTCTTCCAAAGCAGTTTCTTGTGCAGTTTTTGAAGGGGTTACCTGTCAAAGACAGCCTGGTATTAATGGGGTGCAGGTGGACTGATCTGCAATAGCAGCAGGAGGGCTGGAGAACTCACAACAAGCAGGAGGAACCGGAGAACAAGATTCTGTGCTTAGGTCTTGGGTTCAGATGTGACCCACGTCAGGAACCCCGCTGAACGCTGTCAGAAGTTGGGGCTTTCATCCCGGTACGGGGCGAGTTGATCCCTGGGAACTGTGTCTGCGTTGTAAGCATTGTGCGTCCAGGCTGGCAGTGACTGGCTGCTGAAGCAGCGTGCATCGGGGCTGCTCGGGCTGCAGCTGATACGTGGAATGTGGTATTTGTTATCCCAGATAACAAATACCATCTTGAGGATGACGAAAGCACTGCAACCGTCAGAGCTGTGAGCGTGAATGGGAATCGTGAAATTAAAGTAGACGGCACAGAGCAGTGCATGTTGTTTCTTGTTTGCAACAGGGAAGAGTGGAAGTTGATATACGTATGAAACAAAACCAAAGACTCCTGTAGGAGCTGGAAATTGGTTCTGACTGTGCTTTGTGTGTCTCTAGGGGACGCCAATTCATCACCGAGCACTTGCAGATGGAGGATGTCTCTTGCTACTGGGAGCATCTGCTGGCTGAATATTCCCAAGCCTTGACTTACAAAGTGAAAAGGAGGAAGAGCTACAGTGAGATCACTTCTGAATGGCCGAAAACAGAACTATAGAGACTTCTCTGTTTTCAGCTCAAACGGATCTCTGTGGAAATCTGAAGATCAGTGCGTCTTCTTTCTTGTTCTCTCAGGCTCCTTATCCTTTTCACTAGAACTACAGAGAACAGCAACAGGCTGACTTAGAAATTGCTGCCGTAGAGTGAGACCCGGTTATGCTGTCGCCTTGAGAATGTTAAGTAGAACGTTGGGTTATGGCTGTCAGTTGGGGTGGTTATGGCCATGCCTGGCAGAGGGCTGTTAGCGTTTGGGGCTTAGTTACTGTCTGTCCCAGAATGATCCTAAATCCCACTCTGTCAACGAGGAGCCTTTCTGTTAATTTTACTGGACTTTTTACCAAGTCCTCCATACTCGTGGGCGAGGTACACAGACTGTCAGCTACACTCACCTGGGAGGTATGTGCCCCTTTTTTTTTATGGCAAATGGTCAGTGTTTTCCCACGTGTGTGATAGCCCTTGGGATATTAGGTGTTCTCTGACAGAAGCAGGTACTGGGATTTGGGGTAACCTTTTTAGTTAGCTTAGAGCTTATGTTTACATTGGGTTTTGGAGGTTGACGGTAAGGCCTAGGCGTGCCACTGAAAGGACAAATGATCCTTGTGCGGTTAAACCACCTACCTCACAGGGGAGTGGCTGGTGGTGATGGTGTTGCCACAGTGCTAAGCCTCAGCAGCAGACAGTCGAGCAGCCGGCAACTGAGATGGAGACAGTTCATCCTCCGACAGATGAGCTGGGTGCCCACACAGCCACGCAGAACTGAGCCCCTCTTAACAGCCTCTTGGCCATTGGCTGGCCAGGCGTCCTTAACAACCCGGGGAAAGTGTATGCAGAGGTGGAGTCAGCTCTGCTTTTTGCCTGATGTTCACAGATTCTCTGCTCTGATCCCCTGCTGTAATCTTTCTAGGGTGGGTGGTTGTGTTTTGTGTTGGTTTTTGGGGGGTTTTTTTTGAGGTTGGTAATGTGTCTTGTCACTTCAGTATTTGCTTTTCTTTCCCACTGCTGTTACACTCCTTTTTTTCTTTCAGTGTGGTTGAGGGAATGTCTTCAGCCACGCAGCGGCAGCTAGTCCTCCTGTCACTCACTCATTTTGAGTTCAGTCACAGGTCGCTTGCGCTCACCGTATGTATGTATGCCCACAACGGGCTGCTCAGCTCGGAGTGGGTGCCGCTTCTGAAACGCTCCGTGGCCCCTGCATTGAGGGGCCTGGTGGGAAGCAGCTTCTTCTCTGGCATCCAGACAAGTGC